TTTCAACTTGGATAATAGGAGCGAGATATTTCATTTATGATAAGAACCCTTCTTAATACAACTCTCTTCAATTATTCCATTAAAAATTTAGGTTTATTTAGAAATAATTATGAGTGTTGTGATAAACTGGGCGCCAAATTAAATTTAAGAAACAATAAATCATTCGAAGATTTTTTGCGCATGATCAGCAAATTGCTTTTTTATTTTACCAAAGAAAAACGATTCCTTATCATTTTCTCATGCGAAAGAAGGTTTTATTGATTTTTGGCAGCATTTCCCAATGCTCCTATGTATTTAAACGATTTTTCATCGTAAGATGAGAAATTACATATTTTGTCAATCATAGAATGCAGAGCTAGGCAGTAAAGGTCACATAAAGAACATATAAACCCACTAATATTTCAGACCGTAATCCATTTTTATGACTTGTATACATATAGTGTAAGAATGTATTAATTTCGTAAACATTATTGTTTCTTTACTCTCTTCCGTACCATGATCAGTAAGAAAATATGACTTATGCCTCACGATAAGTCCGGCATGCTGTGCGCTCTACCGATTTTACATTCTTTTCAATGATTTATTTGGGTCACTGAATAGATAGGTACGTCGTAGATAAGATAAGATTTTCACGCCGACACAACTCTTGTGCCTTACCTAGATCGATGTCGAATCAGTTGCATATTTTCAGTTGTTTGGTTATTATTAGTAATACTGAAACGATTTGCAGAGCAACAGCTTTTTGAATGTAAAAGGCACAGCAACTTTTCAACAACAGTTCACACCCCAAATATTTACCATAGATAATATTGAGTCTGCTTGCGAAACCAATTTACGTTTAACGATGCGATGTTTCTTCTGTAATTCTTCCGACATCTGTTTGTGCATCTACTTTATATATAGTAAGTTTGCGGTGCACTGCGTGATAAATAATAACAATACTTTTTTTCGTGGTAACGTATATATACTAATAGATAAGCGGGAAAGTATTGTCGAATTTTTGTGCTTCTAGGTAAAGTAATATTATCAGGTCAAAGCAGCAAACAGATAGAAAATGTTATATGGGCTCCCATTGTTTAGCGTAGTTCTCGCGAAATATACGAGGACTACTTTCAATACTCTTCGTCAGTGACATGTAGAATGCAGAGTGAAGGAAGTGCATTTAAGAGATTGTATATGGTATAAGTTCTAGAAAGTAAGTAGCATAAAAAAACTTATGCGACACGCTAGAAAACCAAGTTGTAAATATTGTTCCAAACTTGCCAAAGATAGTTTACCAAATTTCATTCGTTAAATTTCACTCTCAAGGGAGATCGTCGATCTTCGTTGCCCGTATTAAAGTGTATTGAGATATAATCGCTTTGCAATTGCTCAAGTAACTCAACATTCAACCTTCGAATGCTGCGGAACACATCCGACATCATCAAATTCAAGTGTTTTATTAAAAATGCGGCAGAACTGGCCCGCTAACAAAGCACTTGTTGTCATTAAATTCAAAATTTAATTTTAAATAAATATATAACCCACCGTCTAGTTGGAGCTTGTAGCAACAAACACTTTTTCAACCGCTTTGATTTGTCATTGGGAAAATTGCCTCAAACTGGCCTTTCCTGTTGCTGTGTATTAATTTATATAATTTATATTTAAATATAAATAACTTTATTTATATAATAACTTTATTATATACTTAAATTAGCTTTATTAATATATAATATATAAGACTATATATAAAAGGAATTGTTATTCTTTTTAATGGTTTCCTGATTGTTTACGATTCTGTTTCCTTGACTTGGCCGCTTTTGCTCTTCTATCATCTCCTCTACATTTACCATTTAATTTGTCAAGTTGAGCTTTTAACCATTTAACAGAGCTGCCATTTTTTGACTATTTTTTTACAAAAAACTCTGTACCTTGCCTTTTAACAGGGAGGGCTTTGTTTAAAAATTATGGCGGCCTAATTTTAGGCTAATTTAACAGAAAACAAACGGCCAGATATAGCAAAGCCGTCGGCAAAACAAAGGAAAGTAGTGAAAAAAGTAGTGAAAACATTACGATATTTAGTATCTAATGTTTCTTTATTTTTTTTTTGATAAATCTATGTTTTCATATAAAATTTCTTAATTTCATGTAATGGTAACGCCACTGTGTTATCTAACGGACCAAATTATCTAACGGACTGAATAAAGTGCCAGCTCTGTTAAAATGTGTTTAATTTTTTTTTTCACTCTTTGCAACATAATTTTGTTTAGCTTTCGATCTCACATTATCGTAAAATGTGTTTTAGCAAAGACAAGTACCAGCGCAAAAGTAGCCAATGATTTAGCAAACGTGTTAACCTTTTCATAGTATATATAAATGCATTACCATAATATATAGATAAAAAAATTTTTTTAGGGGAGAAATCTATAAAAAAAACTTTAGCATTAAAAGTCTTAGGAGGCGATGCTCCTTATTTTTTTCTATTTTGGTCGAAAAAAAGTGGAAAGTTACGTTATGTGTTTGACACAAATAGCTCCGACAAGCCAGTCGATGACAAACAAAATACAATGATGTTATCATAGTTTGATTCGTAATACCAGATTTTGCACGATACTTACTGATGCCAAAAATTCACATTCATTGCTCCAGCTAATCTCGTTAACATAGTTGGTATGACCTTTTAGCAAAATTCTCTGTTAAAAAGGCAAAGCAGTAGTGGAATAATCTGTTAAATAGCAAAGCCGCCGGCATTTTTGCACCACTCGTGGTGTGGTGCAGGGTATATTAAGTTAATAAGGAAGTATGTAACACGCGGAAGGGCTTAAGATAGACGCACCGATTGTTATATCGATCGATTCAGAATCTTAATCTGAATTGTCCGTCTGATAACTGTTCATGTAAATTTTTATTTATGCCCCAGGTTGCAATTCTGGAGATATTTTGATTAACTATGGAACAGTGAAGTGCTACGACTCAAGAACAAACGCTTTTGAAAGCGGTTCGAATCGGTTTCATGGCGCCACTACGTCAAATAGTGTATACGTAACTGTATTTCGGTATTCTAAATTTGGGCTGAAAACTTTGGACGAGCTGGGGCAACTTTCGAACTCCCTCTCATTTAATGAAAACTGAAGTGCATGCGACAAAAAGGTATAATTTTCAATGCTTAAGCCCTTCTACGTGTTACATATGTCCGCTTACAAGCTTTACATACCCTGTACCACAAGTGGTGTAGGATATAATGAATGAAACAACAATTTTCTAACACGATGAGAACAAATAACTCTTTTTTTTTTTTTTTGTTACTTACGAGGTTGCGTTTTCTTCGTTTTATTAGAGAAATGTACACAATGTATCTGTATGTGTGTGTGTGTGTGCAGAAGCATACGTGCATATAGTTTGTTGTCGAGCTCGACCACTGGCTTGGCTTTCGTTTTTATTAAAAAAATGTTGACGGGCGTAGAATAAATTTTACTCTCAGAAAAGTTAAAAACACGGTGAACACGTGAATATATCGTATTGAGCACACACGATTATATTATATTATATTATTATTATTCGAACTCATACTATTATATATACTCATACTACGTTTTATAATGTATTAAACACTTCTTCTTCTTTGTCCGTCCGGAAGGTAACAGCGAGCGTGTTAACAATGTAAGAAAGTCTCAATGTATTTAACTTTAACGGCTGTTCTTGCAAAAGTTGATTTGTTGTTGGAAATCTATTTCTGTAAAAGCTAATAATTTTATTGTAGAGCTTTGAATTTAGCAGAAAGAACTTGATTTCAAATATATTTTTACCGGCCTTATTATGTCTGTGGACCGATGTCTATAGTTGTCGTAAAAGTATGTCATCAACAACATTTAGTTTCAGTTCGTTGACGTCGTCTACGGATATGTTAACGAGTGAGCAGATATAATTCTTTTCATTATATATGTACATCGTTCTATATATTATAATTCTCCAAATGTAATATTTAGCTGATCTTTCAATTTGAATTTCGATATAAGATACATCAGTGTTTCTTGGGTACATGAAGTATATTATTTGTCGTGATCTTGATTCTTTTTTTCCGCCATAGAATGTATTCATTTGATGAATGTTGCTTGTGCGATAAAGGCAGGAAAGTATTTCAATCTTTTATATATTCACATATATATAATATATTTTTGTAGATACATAAAAACCGCAATTATGAATTGTAAATGCTCCTGGCTAAACAATCGGAGTAAAGTTTCGATCCGATTCGAGCGCACATTCAAATATTCCATTAGCAATACGCTAAGCGAGATCCCATCAAGTCATCTAAATCAATTTCCAATAAAGTTGAGAATGTTCTATGACCCGAACTATTCTTCGGCGTTTATTAGATGCCCCGATCTATCACGAAGACTAGCTTGGAAAGTTGCCTTGCTTAGAAAAGTTAACTTCGAAACGAGGAAAAACATTGCTTTTTAAGGACAAAGCAGAAGGTGAAGAAAAGTGCTGAAATATACCGTGGAAGGACGAAACAGAACTAAAGCTGGTCGAAAATGATACGGGAAGAAGTTGGTAAATGTATTCCCCAATACCGCGCCCATGGATATTGATCTTCTTTGTTTATAATGAAGGTTCACTAGGACAAGCATGACTTAATCTTTGCATTTCGTATATTCTGTCGCTTGCATTTTTAAAAATGGCAGTACACTTACCTGCCTTTTCAAGAAGCCGCAGTTTACTACCTTTGGTGTTTTCTTTTTGTTCACATCTCGTCCCATTCAAAGTTCCAAAGGATTGAGTTATGTATACACTCCTTCAACATACGTTAAATTATGACGCGAAAGTCACGCATAACCGTTTCACATAGACAACGTTATCCGATGCGTTACAGCACGTTTATGGGAAATGCACCTCATAAATTTTTTCGATAATTTTGTAGACTAATATTCGAACCAGTTTATTATCAGGATTAAGAAGAAAAATTTTGTATACAAAATCCCTTACAAAAACAAAAACATCAAAATTCAAGAATTTTCTCATCCCTTTAATTGTAGAGCTAAGTCTTTCGCCTTTGCCACAGCTTCCTCTATGTCGCCAACCATGTAGAAAGCGACTTCCGGCAAGTCATCCATATCTCCTTGAAGTAAGCGTTTGAATCCCTCCACCGTTTTCTTAAGTGGCACCAGTTTGCCGGGATGGCCCGTAAAAACTTCAGCCACATGAAATGGTTGAGAAAGGAAACGTTGCATTTTACGCGCCCGAGCTACGATAAGCTTATCATCCTCAGATAACTCGTCCATGCCCAAGATAGCAATTATATCCTACATTTTATATAACAAATCTGAGAAAATCGTCTTAGCATTTGATAATCAGCCGTAAGAACCTGTAAGGATTTATAATTCTGCAAGGTTTTTTGTACGTTACGTGCCACCAAATAGTGCTCCTCGCCAACTACCAACGGATCCATAATACGGGAAGTTGAATCCAAAGGGTCGACCGCTGGATAAATGCCCAATTCAGCAATAGGTCTCGACAGTACGGTTGTTGCATCAAGATGAGAAAAAGTAGCAGCAGGTGCTGGATCAGTTAAATCATCCGCTGGTACATAGATGGCTTGAACTGAGGTTATAGACCCATTTCTAGTAGTAGTAATTCGTTCTTGCATTGAACCTTTCAAATGTGAAGAAAGCATAGATTTATTATTGTCATCCAATATAATTGTCAGGGACTGAATTAACTTCAGCATCAAGTATTCATTAGTAAATTTTAACTGACAGATCTTACATTTTGCCAAAAGTGAAAAACAAAATACAGTCGCTAAGCGAATTCAAAAAAAACTCATATTATCCTAACCACAAGTTATTTATTAAGATTGCAGGCGAATGGTGCGCACAATTAAGCATGTCTTACCCATATCGGTTCCGAGCGTTGGTTGATATCCAACAGCTGATGGTATACGACCAAGTAATGCAGATACTTCAGAGACAGCTTGCGTGAAACGGAAAATATTGTCAATGAATAATAAAACGTCCTGTCCCTCCATATCTCTAAAATACTCTGCTATAGATAGACCAGTTAAGACCACGCGAGATCTGGCCCCCGGCGGCTCATTCATTTGCCCATAGACTAAAGCTACTTTGGATGTGTCATCTTCTAGCGAAATGACTTTTGACTCAATCATTTCCATATACAAATCATTGCCTTCGCGAGTACGTTCGCCAGCTCCGACAAATACAGAATAACCACCATGAGATCTGGCAATATTGTTGATAAGCTCCATGATAAGTATAGTCTTACCAACTCCAGCACCACCAAACAAGCCTATCTTTCCGCCTTTTACATACGGACCCAATAAATCAATAACCTTTATTCCGGTCACCAATAACTCTGGATTGACATTCATATCAGTTAGAATCGGTGGATCAGCGTGAATAAAAGAATAATAGTCTGTCACCACGGGTCCACGTTCATCAATAGGGTCCCCAATAACATTCAAAATACGACCAAGTGTAGCTTTACCTACTGGTACTCTTATTGGATATCCAGTGTCAATGACTTTTTGCCCGCGGCGCAGGCCCCCTGTGCAATCCATTGCTACAGAACGTACAACTTTTTCTCCCAAATGATGAAATACCTTATTAAATATGAAAAAAAAAAAAAAAAAAAAAAAATATGAAGGATGAAAAAAAATAAAAACTTGACCAAGCCGATAATTAGGAAAACAAATTTGCCTTTCCTGCCTTCAAGCGGATAAACAAAATTGACATAATCTGCGTTTAACCAACATACGCATACGAACCTCCAATACTAGCCGTCCGCCCGGATAATCTTGCACCTCTAATGCGTTCATAATTTGTGGCACATCATGCTCAAATACCACGTCGACCACTGGTCCTATAATAGAACATATTTTTCCAATTTTTGTAGGTGCGTCACCTTTTTTACACGGATCTTTAGCAGACGGAACTTTCATTTTCTTGGCAATATCCTTTTTCTTATCATCGCATACGGGGGCAATTTCCACTTTTTCGTCACATCGATAAGGAGCTTCCAGCCTATCATCATCTTTTGCACAAAGTGATTATCCATTAACCATTATATATATATATCATAAATGATTTGACATTTCACCTTTCTTTTTTTTCTTGCAAAGAACGCTACAAGTTTGATAGTGCCGGCCATAGGTCAGACCATTTTCAATTCCTCGCAGGGAATTGAACGCTGTACCAACGTGACGTGCTTTAGCTGAAGGGAACAAGACATCATGCGACAAGGACATGTGCATGCAATTTCAACTTAAAAACTTACCAATTCCAAAATTTGCAGTTCTAAAAGCTATTTTTGAACACCACATTGTCCTATCTCTTAACCGCTACTAAAATGAAATTTTCAAAATTTTTCAGAGAATTCAAAATTCAAAAGCTACTAAGAGACGTGCATAATAAACGACAAGTAGACAAGTAGACTCTTCAGAGGGATTACAAATAAAAATGGATATTCATGAATATCTAGAGAATTTTTGAAAAATTTTTTATAGAAAGGTAATGAGATTGAAAACAACAATTGTTGGCCTCTTATAATGCAGAAATCATATTGAGATTTCATTCAGGAAGTACTGGTCCGGACGTGTGAGGGAGTATAGCGAGGCATAGCGCAGTCTCCTTATTTAAGATACGCAAGCAAATCTTAATTGCCTTTCTATCCGTCTATCCATCTCCGTCATTCTCAGACGAATTACTATAATATCTTGAGAAATTTAATGCAATTACTTTTACTTACTATGCCCATCGAAGGGCTTATATTGAATTAATAAAGCGCCTCTTACTAACTTCAATGAATAATAATCCCCTCGCACGTGACGACATTCATTAATACTACACATACACGATTCAGATACAGTTTAAATTCAACTTAACTTAGACTGCACATGTAAAAAAAAAAAATCTTAAAATGATGCAACGATTAACAAGCAAGTATAGGAAGTATTAGATTTATTAAGGCAAGTCAGCGCACCGCCAGCTAAGATTATGCCAATGTGGAAAGTTATTTCAGTCCAAACGTGCCGCCGCAAGGCAAAAATAATCGAAAGTTAATCGATTTAGTGGAAGTACGACATGGATAATACGCAGACGTTAAGAAGAATAGGTTTGCTGAAGCAAACAGAATCCGCTAAAGAGATTACGTCAGAAAGATCATTTAAACTTTTTAAAAGGATCCTAAGTGGGGTAAAAAATTCATAGTTGAGTTTACAAAAAGGTAGTAGGTTTACGAACAAAGTTGAATTCATTTAGTGAAACCGGTCAGTCGATGGCATCATTTAACAACTTAACCAGTAAGGCCAAAGACAAATCGACATTACTCAACTGAAGGCAAGGATATACGTAGTAACCTATTTTTGTACGATGGAAGATGGACATGTAGGTCCCAACTTAAATTTGGTAGTGCAAAGAGCAGGAATGGTTTTTGTACATGACAGCGATAAGAAGAAGGTGATCATACGATCGAAACACGAAACTGGTGTATAGTCGCTGCGCAACATAAAAATTATCGAATTGCCACGCCCAACGTCTAACAAAGCGTAGTATCGACTTGACATTATTCGCATTTTATTCAGGTAAATAATTTTAGGTAAATAAAAACGAAGCTTACGCTCGAACACAACATCAAGTTCTAGGAAGGCATCTACACTTTCCAACTTGTGAGAGTTAAAAAAGCATTTCGTAGTGACTAAATTGTGCCTTGAAAATGGCATCCTATCCTATTGGTTCGATAATTAGCTAAATCGAGTCAAATAATCAAGAGTTCGAAGGGAATTATTAAAATACTAAATATAACCAAACTTTTTACCCAGTATAAATATATACAAAGTGCTGCCAAATCGCAGCAATAAAAAATATTATATGAAATATCTGCGATACACTCTATGTACGATACAATATACAACCTATAGGCGAAATGAATGAATCGTCAATTGATCTTGCAGGCTTTTTCAAAAACCTATTGACGGAAAAAGTTAAAACACCCTACACTGATAAATAGTAATATAAAGTAAAATATGCAAAAAAAAAATTTACGAAAAAGACTTTCTCTCTAACGCATTACCGTTCAGAGTGTGATGCACATATATTATATTATAATAATGTAAGAAATAAAGTTTCCATGGTTACAACCGTAACTGCATAACTAAAGTTATGCGTCAATTAAAAACTTTTATGAGAAGCGTGCGGATAAAGTAGATTATGATAGAGCTGTCGGACTACACATCGCCCACTATTGAATTCAAATCGAGATATTCCTCTGAAAAACAATGCAAACTTGTTGACAACACCACGGAAACCAATGCATTACCTCGAACTGCTGATGCTCATTCCAACCCGATTCGGAAATGCCATCAAGCAACACAAACGGAATTCATAGAAATGTTTGTAAAAGTTGTCGATGAACAAAAACTGGCAAAATGGTTAAAGAAAATATACCCTCTGGTAGAGAGAGAATTACTGGACGGTTGCACTCCACAACTAAATCGTTTTGCAATTAGTACAGATTTAGGGAAAGCCTATGATATTGAGCCGTATCAGAAGATATCTGTACAGTCTAATGTAAATTCATTGGGCGTAGCCACGTGGCTAGCTGTACATATTGATAACGTGCCAGTTTTGGTGCTGGGCACACAGGCAACGCATAACGGTTGGTGTCAACATATCGATCAGTGTCTTAAAATATATGCGCCGCAACGAGTCCCTGACGGCAATTTTATAACATTCAATGAAGTTAAAAGTGTGCCGGTGAAGGCGTGTGTGTATACCCTATGCACTAATTCTTTTAACAAAACCGTCTTTGCCGGTTCTACTTTTGGTGGCGATATTTATATTTGGCAATTTGAGCAAGAATACCGAGGACGTCGAGCAGAAGCAAACGTGAAAGAGTTATTCAAGACAACAACCTCTTCAGGTTACATTGTTGCGATTGATTGGTCAGGAGAATCCACTCTATTAACTGCTCAAACTAACGGCAGCGTGATTATATGGCAAATATCGGATGAATTAATAAAGATAGCAGAGTAAGTGAGATGCAAATATATTGACAATCTTTCTATATTGTCTTCAAACCCATAAAAAAAACAAAAAAAAAAAAACAGGAAATTTGATCGAATAAGATTTCACTTACTTTTTGAGTTCTTTTTAAACTCAATTTTTTTTTTTTTTTTTTTTTTTTTTTATGACCAGCCACTCAAAGAAATCCACTATACGTACGGGTACAGTGTTAACCAGGAAAGACTTATAGCAAGAGAGAGATGGAGAGAGGGAGTAGTATTTATGAACGTTCGACTTGAAAATGAAGAAACCAGGTACCGTGGGGTAGACTACCGCTTCTAAAGGCGGGTAGTACAGTTAAAAAACGACGAGTTGCGGTAATGCGTTGTGCAGTACGCAGTTCGAGTGAATGTGCTGTACATAAGCATAACGCAGCCCACATTACACGGTTGCTCAAGGTTGTCGAGAGTTTTGGACACACTTTCGTCACCTATAAGCTTCTAAGTGTTTCGCTGCATGCAGTTGAGGGCCTCCAAGCAAAGTCGGAATGCTTCCGATCGTACACGTACGAGTTGTGCTCGAAATTAAATTTTAAATTCTTGCTTTTCTCAAGTATTTTTTATTGACAATCGTTTTCAATTAAATATATTCAGTTGAATACAGACAGAGTCGGGCTCAGATATGAGAAAAAGGAACGAATAAGCAAGTGATAGATACCAAAAGAAATGATTGAAAATTAAAAAAGTTTCCTGTTTTTTTTTTTTTTTTTTTTTTTTAACTAATATTTTCAATACTTGAGAAATAGATAAAATTAAATTTATATACGTTTCAGGTATATTGTGAAAGATACAGCAAACAACTTTAATGAAATCACTAGCTTGCTAGCTTTAAATTCTAATAGCTTCATATCCGGCAACAGCGAAGGAATTATTTATCATTGTATAAGTTCTGGATTAAGTTCAACAAAACGTTCAATGGAAATTTTGCCTTTAAAAAGACACAAATTTGCTATCACAACGCTTTTAAAAGCACATAGCAGCGACCACAACTATATCATAAGTTGTGACTTGAGCGGTCAGATATGTTTTCACAATTTAAACTGCTTAGATGATGTAAGACTATCTTCGAATTGTTTTAATCATTGGTATCGTTTCCAATCAAAAAGCAATATTTCTAATAGGAGGCGCATACCACAACTCTTCAGTTACCGTTACCTTTCAAAAATACAGTGGCTTGCTTTGACGGCGGTAAAAAATTATTTTGTCCAGGAGATAATGGATCATTGGAGTGCTATTGGTAAGCGTATTGATTGCGATATGATAAGACGACGATATGATATGCGTGATGATTTTTTTTTTTTTTTTTTTTTTAAACCTGACTACACTCTCAGAAACTAATTTATTGACCATCATAATGTGATGAATGCAATAGGGTACATAAGGCGGCACGACCTGCTTTCTCATTGCAGTAACGAATCGATGATCCGTTGTAACGCTGTAGAGAAAGGAATTTTGATTCTTCAGTTATGACCATTTTACAATGAATTGATAATCAAAATGGCCTAATCAGTTGCAAAAGCTCGATCTCATCTACACACATCCATTGGATGTAACACACTATTTGAATCTTTGATAATTGAATCAGGATTATAATAAAACCATGTTTCATCAATTTACGCAAAATAGCTCAAAAAGGCTTACGTACAGCTACATTAACCCACAGCTCATAATTGTAACGCAATAGATTCCCATTTTATTGTTGCACTCGTTAATCGTGTGAGTTTATAAGCGCCGGTTCACTTAACTTTGGTTTTTCCTTAACGATCTGCTAGTTTTCTTGTTATCGAAATTGCAATAAAAATGTTCCTTACGCTTACATAGCCTGAATTGCTCCATTATGGGAAGTTGGTCTGTCCCATTTGGACATCACTACGTAAATGTATAATGTAATCAATACATATGCAATTATAATTACAATTACATATAATGAGAAGAAAGTTATACTCGGCGGAGGCCGAATCTCGCATACGCACCATTATGTTTTTCGCATTCCACTCTCTTTAATCACTTATAAGTTTGTGTGGGCATGGCGGATGTTTTTCATTTTTACCCATAAGGAGTAGAATGCTTCAAAAAGTAATTGTGAAAAATTTAAACCTTCTAGCTTTTATAATATCTGAGAAAGGAGCAAAAATCTAAAAAAAAATTTTTCTTTGGAAAAACGAAATTGCATTCAGTTTTTGCTCCACTTCGCTCTTCTGCTCCGATCGATTCGGCCCATTTCCAATACCAACCTGCGTGCAGAAACTTCCAGTGTTTCTACGCACTTTGACGTCGACAGCTTCGTTTTTGCAACCAAAAGAGTTCCACAAAACACACACCACGTACAGATATTTAGACGGACGGACATGGCTAAATCAACTCAGAACTTCACGCTGATCAAGAGTATATGTACTCTGAAACTTCCTTTTGGGAGAAAACAAAATGAATATACCGCCATCTTACAGTGATAGGTATAAAAAGAATGTACGTAAACACACACAATTACAATTGTGTATATGTAGATATAAACATAACTCTAAATATAAATACTTCAATTGAAGACTCGAACGAATTCTAGAAAATGATGGACTAGATGATTAGTATAGACTTTGATATTTTTAAATACAAAAAGTCATTCATCCACAATTGACAAGAGCTGCTTAAACGGCGACCCTAAACATATCGTTGTCGCGAGAATTAATTTTGACATATTTTCTTGATTTTAGTGTTGAAACTGGTTTGCAATACACTGTGAAGGGTGCATTGAAAGGTAAAGGAACTTTGATCAAAAGCAATGACAATGGGTAAGCGTTTTAAGTAAGTATAAATTTCAAAAAATAAAATCTTACGATTTATTCGATAGATGGATTGTGACCGGTTTATATGAAAATGATTTTCAAATATTTTTTGTGGCGCCTTAAAAAAATGTACACATGGCATATAATTGTAATGGTTTTCTCATTTATTCATAATTGATTGAAATGCAATTTATCTGTGTATGTAAATTCTTATTTTATTTATATGTACATTTTAAAATTGAAATAAAAATTGTGAAATCAAACCATTTTTCTAGTTGTTGGTATATTTTTTTTTTTTTTTTTGATAATTGAATGGGAATCAACTCGCGGATGTTTTTCTATAATGTGGTTTTAACATTTTACTACTTAACATTTCGGATGAGCGGTAAAAGGCTTTTACGAATATATCGAATATATGCATGTGCTTTGTTTGGCTACGAACATTGTCATCGGGAGAATTATAATATCGAATTTTTAAAGGATTATCTAATTTTAATAAATAATGAGACGCGTAACAATTTAAAGTTGATTTCGACGGATTTATAATTAATAACTTTTCCAAATAATTACCAGACAAGATTAATACACATTTACAATATACAATATAGCATATGGAGCGCAATTACATACACAGCTAAAATATTTATATATATGTATGAATTAGAAACGTAAATACAATATAAATATGTATCATACATACATGTAAATGGTAATAAAATATATATATATATATATATATAAAGAATTGTTATGGATAATATCAATTAGCATATAATACATCATACAACACACATTCACTAATTGTACAATAATAAGTTATTTATGTAAGTATTCAACTATATAGGTTTCTTGCGAAAATCAAATAAATCGTAAGCGTCAAGCTTAGTTCAATGCGGATCACCACGAAATTGTGATCGATCGTTAACGGATTATCAACTTCGTTTACAGTTTATGGACAGGATAGCTTCACTTAACTAAGGCAAAATTATAATTTATAAAAATAATAATTATAAATAAAATAAACCAAATAAAATCAATCAGTTTTGCTGTTTTATCCGAATCATCGTAACCTAGCACACGTAACGTTTAATTGAATAAAACTGTATTGGGATCCTCATTATCCATTTGCTTAACATGCCGTAAGACATCCTTTTTGGTAATTACACCAAGCAAACGACTAAAAATTTATTTAATTAGATAAATGAAAAACATAGCACGCATAATACTCATATATACCCGTTGTGTGTAACGAGAGTTTGCCTTAAGCCCAATTTGCGAAACATATCCACCACAGTTTCCATAGGTGTTTGATCCGTCACTGTAATTGGCGCCATATCAAGTATCTTCTTTAATTTCAGAGGTGGTGGACCCAAATTTTGAGTTGGAGTCACCGATGTAAACAACACCACCGATTGGCCATTAATGCCGTCAATAAACCTTTTCGCATTACCTAGATCGCAATTGAAAAAACTGTTAAACAGCATTTGCCTTACATAACAGAAATCGTGTAACTTACCAATGGCCAGATTTAAATCTCTGCGCAACACGAAACCCACAAGGTATTGATTTTCTCTAGAAACAACCACGGGATAGCCATTATGCTCCGTTTCTTTTAGTAACATTTCAATGTCGTCAACAGTCATTGAATCTTGTGTGATAACATTCAAAGTTTCATTACGCCTACGTTGAAATAAAAAAATTCATTATTAATATGAAAACTGAAAAGTTCAAATATTCACTTCGGTTGCATAACATCGGCAGCTAGCGTAGTATGAGCGAATTCCTCTTTGCTGTCAAGGAATGGGTAGCCATTCAGAGTAATATGTGCATCATAGATACCCTAAATACGAAGAAAATATTATTGACTCTAGCAAAAATTGAAATAACTCACCTGACGACCAAGAGCATCTCCCACCCATTTGGAAGCCATCGCTGCAGCCATTAATGGTACAATATATCCTACGCCACCGGTTAGTTCAAACATAATGACTACAAGAGATACAGTCATACGCGTAACGCCACCCAAGACGGCGGCAGCACCCACCATAGCATAAAGGCCAGGCGTAATTAGATTATTGCCAGTTACACATTCACCCGTAAAGATCCAAACATTAGGATAACTATATGTGAACTGCTCAACCGCTGTTTAAAATCAATCATTTACACAGAACTTATCTACAATCAATAGCAAAGGGGAGAAAAGATAATGCTATCTACCTATGCCAACAATACGACCCATAATGGCACCCAGCAACAAAGAGGGAATAAATAAACCAGCTGGTACTTTCATGCCAAAAGTGAAAACAGTTAAAGCCAGTTTCAAGAAAAACGCAAGCAATAAAAGTCCTATAGAACGGTATACTCCTGGACCGGGCTGTGTAACTTCAGTGAATGTCGCTCCGTATGTTATATTAATTCGAGTGTAATCGCTATAATGGAGAATATATATTAATAACAAGCGATAAAGAGCCACAATATGCTATTTACAAACGTACCAGAGGGGATTAGAAACATCGGCAGGTGAACAACGGCTAAAAAGCAAATAAATTAATTCATTCATATTCATGCGTGTAAAGGGATTCGGATAGCATATAACACCAGTGACTAGGGTGACAACTAAAACCTCCATTACTGGGTATTGACCTAATTTACTAAATTTCCTAAAACGGCACCACCATAGATTCGCCTTAATGAACAATGTTCCAATTACGCCCTGTAAATGAAATATATATGACATGCATATCACAACAATTAATTATTTCTATAAAAAGGACCGCCTTACCCCCATAATACCCAGAAAGACAAACGGTATCAGTTCGAAGAATATCCACGGTTGATTGTATTCAACAAAGAATAATACAGAATGTTCATTTCCAAAGGGCGTTAGAGACCGCAATACAAAAGCAGCTATTAGAGCGCAAAAAAACGAACGCCATAAAGTTTTCAATGGAAAATAATAGGAAACTTCCTCTAAGGAAAATAATACTCCTCCAATTGGAGCTCCGAATGCGACTGAGACACCTGCAGCCGCCGCTGCCGATAGAATTTCACGTTTCTTAGCCTCATTACGCCCATATTTAGGAAATAAGTGTGAAAATATATTGCCTATGCAGCTAGCTATGTGAACCATAGGGCCTTCCTTGCCTAAAGTCAAGCCGGCCGATACTGATAGCATTAGACCGACAGACTTAATTAGTAAAGTCCATTTACCCAAATAGCCTCGTATAATAAAACCAGAGAGAATAGTTTTTATTTCTGGTATACCTGAGCCGCATGCATACGGTGCAAACATACGCACTAGCGACGCGCTTAGGGCAGCGAACAACAAAGCCCACAAGATAAACCAAATGTAAGATATAATGTAGGCGCCCGTACCTTCACGATTCAAACCAAATATTTGCGGCCAAGTTTTCCACTAAAATTATTTTTTAAAAATAATAAAAGTTAATCACTTGGATATTGTTGATATTATTTGATGGAAAAAGGAGAATCATTTGGTAGCAAAATATGCAGCAGCAGAGTAGTAGTAGTAACTACTCAAAATGCAAAATAATGAAAATTACCGTTGAACAGTTTCCTTCATCGAAGACAGATTGTTTTGTAGGCCAACAGCATTGCTCGCGATTAAACCAAAATGCCAGCGGACAAATGCCATGCTTCAAGTCAGACATCCAACTAGCCCCTATATCTACCATGCCGGCGACGCAACCGGCTGCTATACCAACTAATAGTACACATAGCCAACCAGACCAAGCATCGTGCGCCCCTTTGACTAAATCCCATAACGAATCCTGACGCTTTTTGACTATGTACCGATGTCGCATACGATCACGAGCTATATCACGTTGCCAGTCTATTGTATGAAAATCGTCATATTGTCCAATACCTGGTATATCATCATGGGGTTCTGCAACGACATCATGAGCATCCGCATAAAAACGGATAAAATGAGTTACTTTTTTAAACATATGTTTAATACATACCCGATGATCCATAGAATGATAAACCTCCTAAAAACATAAATACATTTAAAAACAATTGTGTGTACTCGTATTAGACAAATTTATGAATCAGTTTTATGGCTTTAAAATGCGTTCATTTTTTTTTTTTTTTTTTTGTTATATTCATCATGAGAACATTTTTAATAATATCTGTCTTTTAATGATAAGTTTATGTATATGATATGATTAGAGCAGATTTTAACTGTTCTGACATTTATATATCCGCAAATTGAAGACGAGCTGAAAAAATGTGATAGTATTTTCAATTCTATTCTTACCATCTAAAATATCTCCAAAAGCACTATGGGTTGGCACATGCGGATGTGTACGTTGTGGGGCCTGCTGGGTTTGTGGCGGTTGATGATGGCCGTGGAAATCTCGTCCTCTTTCCATATCTGAATTGTCTGCAGTACTCCCACGGCTATAGGAGCTAAAATGTGTTGAATGTTGATGAATTTCGCTGGGACTTGAACGAGGTGTAATATCAATCATTTCATCATCATCTGGTGTGGTTAAAGATGTTGTAACTGCTGTGCTACCAGATGATGTTGCAAGTGGATGTTCCTGATACTGTGAGTCACTGTTGTTTACTGTATGACCGTTAGACTGTAAAGCAGAAAATTATCAACAGGTTTGCAAAAAATTTTCATTAATATCTCTTTAAAATGTAGCTTTAACACTTCACCGATCAGTCCTCCTTTCATAAAAATATAAAGCCTATATCGTCGAATACAGATACCCGTCATTAGATATGTAATATCGAGGAGTCCAGATGGAAGATCAAGATATGTACTTTGGATCAATACCATAAAAAATTAATTTATACCAAATAATTCAGCTTCAGCATTCCCCGATGTAAAGAAAAAGAGATAAAAATCAAATTTCATTGATATATCGTTTTAAAAACTAGAGAGAGAGATTTGCCCACCGCAGACCCGATATTTTATGCAATGTAAATTGAAAAATTTATTTTTTTAATTTGAAGAAAACAAAGCAGTTTTCTACATCCTATTTTCTCAACATTCAGAGCCATGCAAGGGCCCACATGCCCATCGCAAAGCGAACAAACATGGATAAAAAGAAATCCCTAAATAGATTAGAATAGATGCACTAATCAAATTGGTGTATATCCCTTAATGATCCTCGAACAGTATGAGTTGAATGATGAAATTGATATACCCTCCATTGCTACGAACGAAATAACTTAAATAAATAAATTAAAGCAAACACAATCCGATAAAGTAAAGAACATAATAACGCAAAATGTGTGATAAAAAGCGATTTATATATATATATATATATATATATATATTCACAGCAATTTGTACAAAATGATAAACAAAGAGACAACAAATGTAGTAGCTGTATTTTTCACACCCTTGCCCTCCCGTCCATTTTAAAATTTTCAGATTTTCGAATTGTTAACAGTCCCAGATTACAGCCCGTCTTTTTACATACCTTCTTCAATACTGACTGGTAAGCAGTTATGTAGCTGTTTCCTTCGGCCACAATTTCTCGATTACCCTTTAATGGAAATTTTTCCATAACGATTTTGCTCAACAACAAGTAAGCGGCCTATGAATAACGCGATTCATCTAAAACACAAACAGATGGTGCAAACACAATATATAAATAGGTAAATATATTATCAATAAATATGTACAAAATGTAAGATATTTCAAATACATATCCATTGAGACTATTTGAATCAATATCATTAAAATCGGACATTGATTTACAATATATAATTAACGTTGCATATAACATAATATAGGCAAACTATAGATTCATACAAATGCACAATAAATGAAAGGAAAAATTTTACCCACACTAATGCACAAACAAAATAGTTGCTTCATTAATTGGTCATGAAAGAAAGTATGACTGATGCGGAACTTCTTTATGAATCCTATATAATTTTTCGCACGATATCAAGCACTTTACTTTTTTTACTCCATTACAAAATTTAGATGTAAAAACTATTTAACTTTTACGTACTCATATTAATCCTATCGATAATATTATTAAACAATTAATTCTTGAAGATTTCGCATAAAAAATAAACCAACTAATGACGTGCTAAAAAAGATATTCTTAGCTCAGCTGATATAGTACCAAATTTTGTGACGATTGAGGAAAAATACATCGCTGCATACGTGAATGCGTACAAAACTTTTTTCAATGTGAAAATAACAATCAAAATTGATTGGAATGAGAAGGTAAACCGATTAAAAAATCTCTAGGGCTTATTTTCATTTTTATTAACGGCACATTAAGCTTCATACCCGTCTAAAAGCCAAAGGCAAATATTGAATATTTTTTTTTATCTTATTCATCACAAATAGGTCCCAATCATTACATTGCTATAAACGTGAAATTTCGTTCTATCTAGGTTTGTTGTTGCGTAATAAAGATTATCTAAATTTATTGCTATATAAATTGTTTACCTTTGAAAGGGCCTAGATACAATTTGCTACGAAAATCTACTTGTTATACTTTCCATGTCTTTTGCACGCAAAAGCGTTTGGCCATTTCGACTTTATTCAGTTTTTTCGATGAATAGTTGTTTCTCATCAACGTGAAAATAACAGATTGAAACGAAGCCTTTGGAATGCAAATAATCATTGCCCGTAAATTAAGATTATATTGTAAATAAAGCAATCTAGATTATAAAATTTAAAAAAAACCAAACTTATTTTGTAAACATTTTTGGCAACGTCTTGCAATTAATACATCCCTTTTGTATAGATGCTCTCATACAACAATATACCAAACGTAGATACTAATAATTTTAAAGCAAAAAATTTATTCAACTTTTATGGAAAACAAGTTCACAATTATTTTTTTGCCTAACACATATTATAACTAACTATTGCTTCTACTTTTGAAGTCTATACTAGACAAGGGACTTATTTATTGATTGAAATGAAAATTTTATGGAAAACTAAAGCAACTTTAAAAATAACAGTAAAACAACGGCAACTAATGAAAAAGAGTGAAAAAGAAAGTGGTTTAAAAGCGTTTTCGGTTAAAGGACGTTGTGGTGACAAGTTTGCATTAATTCTTATATAATAAGATGTATATAAGGACTTAATGCAATGATGCGTTATTGCGCTTTTTGGCAGAAAACTTCAAATTTTTGCAAGACTGCGGGATTCAGCAAATCGTATGGTTTTGTATGTTTAAAAATTAATAAAACAAAAAAGAAAACATGTCGAAGTAAAAATAAAGATAATTTGATATCTTGAATTTAAAAGTCATGGATATAAGCTATGCTTATTTTGTAAAGGTTCCATTCTTTCTTACGTTATATGATTTGTCAAATCAAAATATATGAGATATTCTTCATCTTTGTGTAACTGAGTCAATGAGTCTACTTCCATGTGCGCGTGCACCTTCTCTTAAACTCATTTTTATTCACCCCTTATTTCATAAATCAATCAAAAATTTTAAATTGCTTTTACATTATTTTGCCATCCTTGTTTTTCAAACTTTAGTTATTTACAGTTTGTTCTATTGCTTTATTTTAACTTCCATGTGTTTACATTTACATTATTTTTTTTCATCAAATAATATGATGACGCCAGCGAACGCGGCTTCTAATATGCATTTATTATTTGAAGGTTATTTGCGCGGTTGACGCAATAACCTATCATTTGGTTCAAAATGTTTGACAAAATGAAGCTTTGTTTATATTCCAGACCTAGGAGAGACATTCAACATGAAAACTTTTTGTATATATCTGGATATACATATATTTCTACACATACATATATAGATATCTTATAAATTTATAAAATTTATGAAGACCTAAGAAGGCCTACAAAGCAATTTATTATATTTTCTACTTCTCTTAATCTTTTCGGTTTGTTAATATGAAAAATGCAAAATTTCGCAATAAAATACCAAAACTTACCCATAGAATTTTATAATAACTTCGTATGGGGAAAAATAAAATGCAATTGACGGGATATGAAAACTCTGCATAGGAAAAATGAACAAAAAATGTTCAAATTTCATAACATCGGGCGACAGCTGACTTTTGTGCATTTTCATTTTTTCTTTTGATTATTTCAGTTCTATATTTTCGTAGGCTTTGTAAAACGCGAGAAAATAAAAAATAATGTTCAATAATGCACTAAAACATATGAAAAATGAATGCATATTGGTGCGCGGGTACAGAAACGGTAATTGTTACAGAAAATTGCACAAATTGCTAATTGCGCTACACAGCATATATTTTAATACTGAATTTCCGTATATTTTACGCTTGAGTTTTTTCCTCATTTTTTAATTTAAATATATACAATTGGTGTGATAGAATGTAAATGCTAGAAAAATGGTCGTTATTTTCTATAAAAAAAAAGTGGTTTTTAGGTAAAAAAATGCTTTTTAGAAAATAAATGTATTTTTTTTTTTTTGAGGGCAACTCTTGACAACATGTAATACATGTTGGCGACAAAAAATTATATAGCTTAGCGTAGAAAAAACAAGTACAGTGATTTGGACAAAAATATTTGGTTTGAATTATATAAATATTCCCTTTATAAGATAAAATTAGTAAAAGGTAACTAAAATTTATGATCAAAATAAATAACAATTTCAATTAACGCGCGTCAAATTCATTGTTTATATTTTCTCTCACATGTTTATTTTCAGCTGTCAGTTCGGCGCTAACTATACAAAAGTCTCCATTACCGCTATCAACATCTGCACACGCACAGGTGCTGTTGAATCAGCAGCTGTTAACAAAACTTATTCACGTTCGGCATTTTTTACGCAACCAACGGAACGCTGTTGTCGTTGATGTTCTTAAAAAAGCGACAGTGAATCGAACGTTTGGCTTCTCGGCTTCTGTGTCTCGCCTTTTTATCTCATCGCAGTTGTTTCGTTATAATAATATAACATACTTAAGCTGTTCAACGTTGCTGAATAACTGGCCGTTATCGAACAAGCAGTTTAATCGCAATCACTCTTGCGCTATCTTAAAGTTACCAGATAAGTGGGGAAAAGTTATTTTAAACAATAGTTATTACAAGAATTCTTGTGCCATTATCACGCGTACCTTACTTGACGGAATCTCTGCCGATTCTGTTACTCAATTAAAAGAAAAACCAAAAGAAGCTATTAAAAAAGAAACCATGGCACCTGGACCACAAAGAGTGTTTCAGCGTTTGCCCTCCGACGTATTGCCAACGCATTACCAACTCGAATTAAAGCCCAATTTGGATTCGTTCACTTTCGAAGGCAACACAACTATCGATTTGAGAGTAAGTAAAATATACCATATCCTGACGCGATCCAAACAAAAAATATCTAGCTACGTATACATTTTTCTAAACAATTTCATTCACTTTCACTTTTGCCACACACACTGTTAAATTCAAAGTATGTAGTGGTTTATTTATTCATATCGGTATATTTGTGTGCCTGCAATGAATACATACACAAACACATAATACACATATCTGTCACAATTTTTAATAAACTCGATGGCCTGACCTAAATGTAAAGTTTGCTTTTATATTTTTAAATCCAGTTTGATTTTGGCTACATATAGTGGACTCTTTTTCTTTTCTGTCTTGTTCGATTTTTTGTTTGCATCATTGCATGCGTACTATAATTTTGTTTTGATGTAAGCAATTAGTTAACAAAATACTAAAATAATGATAAGATGCGACCTCTCTACCCATTTTTTTTTTTTTTTTTGATAATCAATTTAAAAGTTTCAACCTCTTCATCAAAGAATGGTCCCATATTCAAATCTGATTTTCTGATCGATTGTGACATCCAAATATATGCATCCGACAATAATGACGATTTACATGAAATTTTCAATCAATTCAACCACCTGTCCGGTTGTGATCATACGAAATAAAATAGAAAGTTAAAATTATTCATTTCGCGACAACAAACTAAATTTCAAAATAGATAAAAGTGTTGAAAATGCTGAAATAGACTAGACAAGACCAATGTTAAAGGGAGAAATGGATTCATGAATATTCTAAAAATATTAACGATTCCGTTCGGCTCACGTTGATCAGTAAAAATTTTAAGAAAAGCTTAAGGTAGTAAAGTGATGGGTACTCGTGATTCGCTCTACGGCAAATTTATGTCTCTTACCTATTTTATTGCAGTTGTTAGATAATAACATAACGTCGTAATTTAACTTGAATAGTATATAATTTCATTCTCAGTTTTTATTTCGTATAATTATCTCACTCAGATACAAATGCGTATAGGCTTCTTTAATGCTATCTATCTGTCTGGATTCGTTTCGTACAACAACAATGTGTATTCCATGAAATTAACGTCCTATAGATATAATTTACCCATAATAAATTATGTGAACACATATGTGAACATGTATTCATTATAACTAAGCTAACTGTTAATGAAACACACATATATACAATGTTATGTACTCTTACGCAAAGGTCTATTTTATAAAGCCTAATTTAACCGATACGTAAAAAAAAAAAAAAAAACATATGTTTCTGTATGTATTGTGCCTTTACCTAGGTAGCAAATAAAAAAACCAAGTTCAAATTTTATGCGCTTAAAACACACACATACTTAAGTTTCATTTATTTAAAACGATAAATTTTTCGGGGAAAACGTAATCTGCTCCACATAAGAAATTGAATCGTACTGCAAATCATATCGACCGTGTGCTAATCTTTAATTTTCTTCTTCAGCGTTTTTAAATGTTACTTAACACCAAAAGTGACATACATGACTTTCAGATTTTTATTTGCATAAACAAATCGACGTTTTATCAAATTGACAATTGATCCTATTCAAGCCATTAAATAAAACTGTCGATTTTCTTCCTTTTTTTTTTTTTTTTTTTTTTTCTTTTTTTAGATAATTAAGCCAACAAGTGCCATCACTTTAAATGCTACAGATGTTACGATAAAAAATGCCGAACTGGTATTGGAAGGAAAAATACTAAAACCTAATAAAATAAAATACTCTGCAGAGAATGAAAGAGCGTCGTTGCTGTTCGATTGCGACTTGAAAGCTGATGCTGTTGGGAAGTTAACTATGAGCTTTGAGGGAGAATTAAATGATAAAATGAAGGGTTTCTATCGTAGCAAGTATTTTACACAAAATGGTGAGGAACGTTACGCGGGCGTAACGCAATTTGAAGCTACAGACGCTCGTCGTTGTTTTCCTTGTTGGGACGAACCGGCAATAAAAGCCACGTTTGATGTTAAATTGATCGTACCAGAGGACCGAGTTGCTCTATCAAATATGCCAATCGTGAAAGAAGAGAAATTAGGTTCAGGTCTGCGAAGGGTATCTTTTGATCGCACCCCAATTATGTCAACATATTTGGTGGCAGTTGTGGTAGGCGAATACGATTACGTGGAAGGTAAATCCGAAGATGGAGTTATTGTACGTGTATTCACTCCAATTGGCAAAAAAGAGCAGGGCTTGTTTGCTTTGGAAGTAGCTACGAAAGTTTTGCCATATTACAAAAGTTATTTTAATATTGCTTACCCACTGCCAAAAATGGACCTGATAGCAATCTCGGATTTTTCGGCTGGAGCCATGGAGAATTGGGGCTTGGTAACTTATCGGGAAACTTTTGTGCTCGTTGATCCCAAACACACATCTTTGATGCGTAAACAGTCTATTGCGTTGACAGTGGGTCATGAAATTGCTCATCAATGGTTTGGTATGTGAAACTGGGAAAAAATAATGCAATTATAATACAAAAATATACTTCTTCTTCAGGCAATTTGGTAACCATGGAATGGTGGACTCATCTGTGGCTCAATGAAGGCTATGCATCGTTTGTGGAATTTTTATGCGTTAATCATCTATTTCCTGAATACGATATTTGGACTCAATTTGTTACTGATATGTACACTCGTGCCCTTGAATTAGATTCACTGAAGAATTCTCACCCTATCGAGGTGCCCGTCGGTCATCCCTGTGAAATAGATGAAATTTTTGATGAGATTAGCTATAATAAAGGAGCATCAGTTATACGTATGTTGCACGATTACATAGGCGAAGCAGATTTTCGGAAAGGCATGAACGTCTATTTGACACGCCATCAATATAAAAATACCTGTACTGAGGACTTGTGGGCAGCATTACAGGAAGCCAGTTCCAAACCTGTAGCAGAAGTCATGTCCACGTGGATAAAATTAAAGGGATTTCCTGTTGTAAGTGTAGAAAGAGAGCAATTGGAGGGCAATAGCTGTTTGCTGCGTTTACAACAAACGAAATTTACAGCCGATGGTTCTAAACCAGAGGAAGACTATACGTGGGTTATACCCATCACCATATCCACCTCTAACAATCCGAAATTTATTGCTTCAACCTTTCTAATGAAAGAAAAGTGCATGGAAGTGGTAGTGAACGATGTAAGACCTGATGACTGGATTAAAATTAATCCAGGCACGGTTGGTTACTATAGAACACGTTACTCGAACGGAATGCTTGAAAAGCTCACGCCAGCTGTGAAAAATATGGAATTACCGCCCTTAGATCGTTTGGGTCTCATTAACGATATGTTTGCAATGGTGCAAGCAGGGCAAGCAAGTACAGCTGAAGCTCTACAATTAATCGATTCGTACAGAAATGAGACAAATTACACTGTTTGGACGGCAATAACTAACTCTTTATCAAATTTATACATTCTCATATCGCATACGGATTTAATGGATTACTTTAATAAATATGGTGAGAAACTTTATTGCCCAGTGGCTGAGCGTCTCGGTTGGGAGACACGTGAAAATGAAAACCATTTAGACACATTATTACGAAGTTTGGTACTCTCGCGATTAGTCAGTTACCGCTGTAAAGATGTCGTCACTGAAGCCCAACAAAGGTACATTCTTTTGCTAAAGCTGCAAATTGCTTTCTTTATTGATGATTTTTTAATAAAAATATTTCTCCAGATTTGAAGATCATGCTAACGGCGTTCGATCTATACCTGCAGACTTGCGATCCACTTGTTATAAGGCCGTTTTGCAAGACGGTGATGAAGCAATTTTTGAAAAAATGCTGTCACTATATCGTGCCACTGATTTACATGAGGAACAAGATCGGATTTCTCGTGCTTTGGGTTGTATTAGCAACGTAGATTTGTTAAGAAAAGTGATCGATTTTGCTATGTCGGTAATTTTAAAATTTTTTTATTCTTTTTATATCTGTCGAGTGAGTTCTAATTTATTTCTCTCCTTATTTTTTATTCACACACACACACACAATCAAGGGTGAAGTTCGTGCTCAAGATTCCGTTTTCATTATTGTAGCGGTTGCCGTAAATCCCAAAGGCAGAGATATGGCTTGGCAATTCTTTAAGGATAATCATCAAAAATTATTAGAACAGTATCAGGTAATAGACAATAGCAAAAATTGACGCATTGACGCAATATTTATCTGAGCTGATTTCTAGGGGGGCTTTCTGTTAGCTCGTTTGATCAAATACATCACAGAGAACTTCGCATCCGAAGAACGGGCCGTAGAAGTTGAGGAATATTTTAAGAATAAACAATTTCCCGGAACTGAGCGAACTGTTTCGCAATCCGTTGAAACAATACGCTTAAGCGCAGCCTGGTTAAAGCGGGATCTTGACTCATTAACCGAATATTTGAAAAAGCAACAGTAAAGAGCGAAATACATTTATTTTCTTTAAGTGAAAAAGAATCTTTTTATATTAAACCATAATAGACCAAAGCCATTTATTCATAAATATTATACTCGAACCGCAGAAATTAAAAACATTTTTATAATACGGATTACGTTTCATTAAAAATTAATTTTATGTTAATGTGTGCATTTGGCTATCTTATTATATTAAAACGTTTTTGTTGTAAATTATTGTATCAAAAAAATAAATCAATCAAATCCAATCATATAAAGTTTCTTACAATGTTAGAAAGGAAAGGGAAGTGAGAAGCGCATTCGCCTTAGCACGTTGCTTTCTTCGTGGGTAGCCCTAATTGCTTTGAGAAGATTGCATTGAAAAGGCTAAAATGCTTGAAATGCACGTCAAAGCGATCAGCGATCATAAAAATAATGTAATTGTTTAAAACTTGTCAAATGTTTGCATTGAATTCGCGATTAATTTTGCAAAGCTTTGCCTTTTTTTGTTTTTTTTGTTTATCTCGAATTATAAATACGTCTAAACAACATACATGTATATATATATATATATATATATATATACAAGCGTTGTATACATGATTATGCAAAAAGTTTAAATTTTGAATGCTCCAAAAATTCGAATACATACAAATATGCCAGCACATGCATGGCGCTTTGTCGAATCATTTACGCATATGAACTCGTTTTTATTAACTCTTCATTACTTCCGCATACTTTCTATTATTAGCGTTTGCGAAAATATTGATTAATAAATCAATTCGTGTAATAACACGAATAACGAATAATAAATTCTCTTTCTTTTAAGATATAAATAATTTAAGAATGTTACAATTTTAAAAATTAAATAAAAGCTAATATAAAAAAGAAAGTTTTTTAAATTCTCACCCCCGACTAATTTGAATTTGATCTTGAGAGTGAAAATTGAATCGTCTTTATACTAGAGAAATGGAATTTTACTATATAACTGAGCATATTGTTGCTGTGACTAAGGAAAAAGTATTGAAAGATATTCGTACTATTTGTTTTTTTTTTTATTAAAATTTCAGTTTTTAAAATGTAGTTAGCAGCGCTGCACTTAGCTGAATACATCGTTTTTAGCTGAATGCAGCGTTACACTTAGCAAACGTTCAGCATCTTGCTGAATGCACCTAGCGCTGTACAGCGCTTTTGAATATAGGGTTTCTAGCTAAATGCAGCGCTGCACTTGGCTGAATTCAGCGCTCTTAGCTGAATGCACTTAGCGACTGCACCGAACCCAATAAACTCTTATACCCCATGTATTGCAAGGAATAAGGAAGCGATATTAAACAATCAATAGCGAAATTTACTATGAGAAGGAGCACTTATTTCTAACTTCCAATTTAAAAAATTGTATTACTTACACTACTTAACCGTGAATTAATTAGTTATTTTGACATTTTTATTGATCAGTTGTCGTAAAATTAGACCTTGTGTTTTGCTTATCCAGGTTTCTCGTTAGATGACGTTGCAGCTGTGTTCTGCAATCAACAGGTGCAACGTTGCACTTGTTTCTCTCTCTGTCTCTCTTTCTCTCTCTCGAATTCTGTTTCGGAACAGAAGTGGCAATAATAAAATTCTTCAATATCAATTTGCCTTAACACAAGCTTCTTATGAAAGTCATAAATGGAGTTGTAAAGAAAGGAGCAATTAGAAGGCCGTTTAGAATAAGGTGTGTAGTCATAACTCATCCACAATAAATAATAACAATACGTCGGGGGGTGAAAGATCTGGAGGTCTGCGATGCAAAGCTGAGCTCTCTCAACTTTTCCTGCCGTTGTCTTAATGGAAGATAATACACTTTCTGTTCATTGATTTCGTCCTTTTTCTTAAAGCCGTGTGCGTTGGTTCACCTTTAGTTAATACTAATCAATCCCTAATCTACTCTTAAAGTAAGCTATCTTTTACAATTTTAAGTTGCTGACTTTCGTTACATCATATATATACATACATATATATTTTTTAAAATCAACTGATATTTTGAATTTAATTTTTTCGACGTTACAATAACTACATTTTCGGTTAAGAAACCGATTAAGTAGAAGATTAAAAATATTGTTTTTCTCTCTTTTATATGTTTATGTAATACTGATGGAAGCATATTAATCCTTCCATTTAAGATGTAAATCCTTCGACGGAAAAAATGTAGAATCTTGTATAATGTTGCATCTATATAAGCTATTGAAAAATATCTACAATAGCGCTATTACTATCGTGAGGTTCCATAACATGGCAAGCCTAGTAAGCTAAAATAATACAAAAATGGAGAAAAGTTTGTGGTATTTTTATTATTTTAAATAATAGACCAACCAACATTGTCAGTCTTAATATAGAATATTCTAAAGTTTCTCTTTTGAAGTCTGACAAATATTTTTCATATGCAATTACAAAAACCGCATGCACGACAATATGAAAGGCGGGTTCTCTCTATTCGTATAACAAGATTGCCAACTTTCGCGATTGAGTAAAAATTAGTGGAAATGCTCATGCAGACTTGCAATAAAAGTAAACAAGTGTACATTACCAAGTAATATTTTCTAGCGCACAGTAATAAGTTGATAGTTTGTGCATGCAAATGGGTGCGAAGGTAAAATTTTTAATTATTATCATTTTTATAATTATTATATAATCAACTCGTTTAAATTACAAAAGAAAAAAAAAGGAAATAAATCAAAGCATTTACAATTTGTGTATGTTGTAATCATATACATTCTTATTAAAAAAAGTTTCTGTCAATGTTTTTTCTGCGGTCAGCGAGATTTGGTATGTCTGAATGATTTTTCTTGTAATCGTTTTTCCAATCCTATGTAAATAATACGTAAGATATGCAAAAATTACTTTTATTGAATACATTATTGAATTATATTTTTGATAATTAGCTATATAGATACAAAATCATTTTAGAAAAAAAAGACGAACTCTGTGTCTGTTTGAGATAATTTGAGGATAGATTGTGTTAAAATAGATAGCATATAAGGTATGGTCTGCCGATACCTAATAGCTCATCGCGTCAAGTCATATATACTGTATTTCAGTATTTAGATGTAATTTGTTCGGCTTACATATAGTTTCAATTTTCCTGATCTCAGGAAACTGTCGATAGGCCTTAACCACGTTATCCTGAAATACACTACATTCAGTTAGTTTGCTTTATTGGAAAGAACCATTTGAGCGAATTCACTAATCAACGAACTTGTGCAAAATGAGCAATCCCTGTAATTGATAGGCAATTCATTTTTATATTAATACGAAGTGTGAGATAACATGCAAAATGTTTTGTATTTTCCATTTAATACTTTGAAAAGTGCTGTTTTCAAAATTGCAAAATGTTTACTCATTTTTTATTCTGTTGTTATTTTGCAATATTAGATAAATTTTTAAATAATTCTTATGAATTAAAAAGTTTCTTTTGTTATCTTTCCTATCCTGCTTAGATTATACCAAAAACGAATCAAAACAAAAGTTATCGTTTCCTTTCTTTTTTTTGGCGATTTTTTCACAAAATACGAAACAGCTGGGTTTCACGCGTACTAAAATTGTCAGCTTTATTGATATTTCAAGATACTTTATAAGCGCAATTTTAATAATAGAAAATTACTCGTTTTATGCACGTTCAATGTTAAATTTAACATGAAACCATGAAAGAGTGAGTATATTCACTCTCATTTGACTAAATTGTTTGAAATATCGGAGAGGAGATTTCTCTTTATTTTCTCTTTATATTTCAAAAATAAGATCCAACTGATGTTGTTGTTGCCTAAAAGTAGGGTTTGCGCTGGTATTGTTATTGTAAAGTTTGTTTGGTCTCAGAGAAATTTTTGATTCTTCTTGTCTGAAGAAAGGAAGGAGAGAGAGAGAGAGAATTCAGTGATTTAGCGATTGCTTACATGAATATAAGTCTAAACATTTTTTGGATTTCTTTCTGTCAAATTTGTTTTTTCTGTTAAATGGGAAGGATGTAGAAAGTCTGTGCGTTGTGTGTAAATAATATACGTAATATTAATGTAGCAAGAAACTTAGAAAACTTAAATACGTTTAAAACTGTTCTTTGAAAAGAAAATTCATTGAAAGGGGCAAAAATTTATAGTAAGAATGAGAATAATTGTACAATAATTTGTTTTCATTGATTGATATTAGAAAAAAACAAATTTGTAAAATGTGTAACTATAAAAATGATGACTAATAAGATATTTTACGGGAAATGCTGAAAAATACGATGTCTGTATGCATAATATAAGTGCGGGTTAAGATGTTAAACAACCCTCAATCGTGTTTTCAATAACAAAATTGTACGAAATTTTTGAATATATAAAATGAAGAAAAAAGAATTGAAATATTCAATCAGCAACCTCACCTCGCGAATGTTGAAACATATGCTTCCATACGTACGTATATGAGTATACATTTATATATATATATATGTATATATATATATTCTACTATACAGAGAAAATCATTGACTGTATAACTAAATACGCAAATACTCACTTATACATTTTATCTGCATATAAATGAAAAAAGAAAAAAAATTTAAAATAGAAAAAAACAAAATATAAAATACATGGCGCTAACCGTTAATAGTGTCTGATTTGTGCAAGACCTCAGGATTATTGCTCTCTAGCCATCTTCGCCATAATCGTTATGGAAAAAAAGCTGGTTTAAGGAAATTTGCGTACATTTGGACATATTTTTCAGAACGATTAAAGAACTATGGCGGGCAGTATTGTTAAATGGTGGAAACATAAAATCCTTGGGGGTTACAAGCAAATTTCAGGTAAGCCTCATAAATGACATTTTTAGAAAATTTTCTTACATTTTGAAAACTATAGACCAAAAATGGTATACGCTGAGCATGCATAGCATCAGATAATTTTGGCTGCCGTAATACCTAGAGATATACGTTAGAGACCACACACGATGGTCAATACTTATCCGCATCAGTTTCTCTAACGCTTTCATATTATCTTTCGGCACTTGTTTTTTTTTTTTCCTTTTATGATATCATCATGTGTTACGATGGATACTCATCACTTTAGTTATGATCATTCCATGCACGCATACGAACAACGCCTCCGTTTCTGTTCTTGAAGAATATTCAAGTCGTCATAAACGATTTTAGTTCAAAATTTTGAAAGTTATTTCATTCGAAAGATTTGATAGCGTATACAGACATACAGCCATATATTGCACAGGTCTTTTAACAAAATGTGAATCATTACGTTTCTTTCAACTGCATAACAAATTAATCTGATAATAATAAACAAAGTCAAAACATAATCATTTTGAAAGTATTTCCTTCCTTTTCAGTGCTAAGCACTGTTTCTAGTATTTTCAACGATCTTCGGTCACTGTTTCAACTTTCCAAAAAGAAAACCCAACATATGATAGCTCTAATGTTATAAGTAAAGTATACTTCTAGTTTTGTCAAGACATACTTGAAATTGATTTGTTGTAAAAAATTTTTTGATAAAAATTATTTCATCAAGCTTAATTGTTGATTTTCCAATGACGGGTGTTTTACACTCATTAGAACTTGAAATTTTTATCACTTTCATGTTGTTTGTTGAAGAATATATGTCGTAGGCTTTCGGAACAATTTAATAAGTTCATTAGTTTCTTCTTTTTGTTTTTCTTTAATATGACCAATCACTCGCATTCTATTCCTGTTACGCCGGGACTCTTGCAAAGAAGCGAGAAAAGGGGAAAAAATAGGATAACGTGGTGGCCCAGTTGTAGCGGTTGTATGCGCCCGATCGATAAGTGTTATGCCTTCAGCATTTGAGGACTCACTACTGCTACGAGCAAAGAGAACTCTGCCGAGCGTGAGATTTGAACCCGTGAACACATTTGCTTATTAACCAATAAGTGTTGTAAAGTGAATCAGATGACAGTTTATAGATTTCGAAAGTAAGAGTTGTAGATTCCTTTATAGCTCAGCTCACAAAGTTGCATATTGACTTATGAATCTGTAAAATCGAGTAATAAGTTAAAATTGATGCCTAAGCACTTATGTGAACGTATGCGAAGAACGCATGTCAAAAATTGTCCACTTAACTTTGCTTCTTCACTTAACAATGAGATGGGAGTAAATCGACAAATTCTGAATTTTTCGTATAGATTAAAAACTAATTTTTTTTTTTTTTTTTTTAAATTTTAAGTCGATTGGACGCATTTTTCAGTTATTTCCTGCAATCAGTGATCGAATTTTAGACTGGATTCTAAATATTAATCGATCCGAATATGAATTGAATGAATTTACATGTAAACGCCCTGTTACGTGCAACATTTGCCATATTACAAGTGAAGCGTAAATTGAAATCGCTTGGAAAAGCAACTGATTCGAAAGAATTCATGTAATGCATTCAAAAACCTCGGAACTCTTTTCGGAATTACACTTACAACACGTGAACTACATTTGCAGAACGGGTGTGTTGTGTCAATTTCGAAATCAATTTTAATGGATTTTCATCGACTTGCGAGAGATTAAATGAGCTATGGCCTAAATGTAAAAGCCTAGATTTTAAAAGGGTATTGGCTTGTTAATATGTCGGCAGACCTAAGACACAAGCCAAGTCGTTAAAGTTGGCCCCGGCTTGTTTCAATTAATTTATTGCTCACATAATTTTCTCACGCGGTTCTAATTGAACGAATCAGAGAAATTTTCTGTGAAAATGCAAAAATTGTAAATATATTGTGACTTCTGCTTCCTTTATCTTGTAATGCATCCCACCTGTGTACATGAGCATGTATGTAAAAATATTCCTTTATGGTGATTTCTTTGCCTCATTGTGACTATGATAATTGTAATAATATGAGTTACTGTAATAAACATATCAAAGACCAAAAAAGGACGCTTAAGCAAATATATATATATATATATGAGTAGTATACGTGCATATGTGCTTAAAATATGTATATATATATATGTATATTTTTATAGTTTCTTAGCGCGGAATTTCTTAAAGAAGAAAATAGCGCATAAAGTGTCAAAATGCGAAATGAACATCAAAGCAACATTACATGCAACGTTAAGTTCTAAAAAAGTGAAATGAATGAAAAAATCTTTCGCTATATATAAGCCGATTAAATCATTAATTTTTAAGCATTCCATTAAGCAGAATGATTGCTGCTTGTTATTGCTAACACCATGTCTGTAGCGCCTGATGTAAAATTTTCAGGTTATGGTTACAATCCAGTGCTCGCTTTACGCCGAAGTATTGTGACGCAAAGCAAAATGTTTTTAATAATGGAATTTTGTTTTGTTAGTGAACAAATCTTTTTTTATGACAATTATCCAGGGAGTATTTGTCTTCCCTATTCCTGTAACACGATCACAGTCAGAAGTAAGTGAAGAAAAGAGAAGAAAAGAAAAGACATACTCTCTACCGCATTGGCTTCGGCAGAAGAAGTTTTTTAGTGCAAAATGAGCATAAATCTGAAATTGTTTGATCGATACTTTACGAGAGGTCGATCACGACAGCCATCTATCGAAAAAATAATGGGTTTCCCTCCCATATATATGCATTTTCATCATAACCTAGTAAGTTCGCCAATTCACTTGTTTTGTTTATGTTTATTATTTATTAAGGAATAGAAAAAGACTGCGCACCGATATAAAGTAAATGTATGAAAATTCCGGTAGCAAAGTTATCTCCATCAAGATGACCGTAACTTAATCTCATCTGCGTATGTGTATGCTTTAATCATTCATTCGGTCCAGACAGACA